CAACAAGAAAAAATAATTCATCATCATTATCATTAGAACCAACAACACACAGTTCAACATCATCATCACAAGCAACAACGAATGATTTAATATTATTATCACCAACAACAAGAAAAAATAATTTATCATCATTGTCAATAACATCAGTTAAAAACAATTCAGTATTTGTATCACCAATAACAAATTCTGTAGATCAAACAATGATAGACATATCTAAATGTGATTTAAATTGTTGTAGTTCTTCTAAAGCATATCATCCACTTAACCCTTTCCGTCCGGATGTTGCCATATGGCAACATTTAGTTAGTTTTTTGCCCAAAATTGACCTATACTAATAGTTTATAATTCTTTTTACGATTCGATAATTATCTGCAGACATTTTAGCACAGATTCATGTGTTCAGAAGAAGAAAAAAATATTCAGGATGAAAATGATTGAGATTCTACGTGAGGCTCCAAAAAAGCATCTCGAACGTAAAAACGATTTTTTGATGCAACCGAACATTCAATGGTGAAGGCAATTAGTGGTTAATTTTTGTCCATAGACCCACTATATACTGCCTCATTAGTTGATATTATTCCATAATTTTGAACGACGAAAGGTAGCGATGTTGCCATATGGCAACTCCCGGCGGTAAGGGAACAAATTTCTTTAAAACTTTTTTTTCTCTTGCATTGTCAAAATAATATTATTACGTGATGAAATTCTTTGCGCATCTTTTCTTTCGTTCGGTTCTTATCATTACATCATCATATGTATCTTACCTAGATTTTTTTACTTTCTTTCTTGATATACGAGTGCATATTTTCTTCTAGTATATTCAGTTCTATTCGCTTTTTCGTTCTCTCTTTTATTTTTCAGGGTCTGTTTCTTTTCTACTTCTTTCTAGTGAAGTCTGTCACCTTCTAAAGCTTTATATACATATATATATATACACGAATTCAATGAAGTGTGTTTAATAAGATTTTAAAATATAAAATTGTCTCTCATCAATCTTTTATCTTTGATAATGCCAACTACACGAAGTTCTAAACAACAGTCTATTGTACCAAATGGTCTTAGTGAAGAAGAAGTAGATTCATCAGACTCTGAAGATGAGATAAGTAAAGTCAGACATGTTCTGTCAAAGAATTTATTAATAAACAAAGAGTCTTCGTCAAGTGAAGAGGATGATATTGAAGAAATTAAACAAGCAAGTCCACCACCAAAAAAAACGAAAAAGATACATTGGAAAAAGAAAGACTTTATCCCTCCATTAGCAGATTTTACTGGAGTCTTACCATCATCACCACCGGATGATGAATTAGCGCCGATAGATTATTTTTATTCCATGTTTGACAAAGACTCTATAGCACTTCTAACTGATCAATCTAATTTATATTCGGTTCAAATGAATCCAAATAAGCCTCTTTGCATTTCTCAACATGAGATGGAACATTTTATAGGTACATTAATTATGACAGGTATTTATTCATTTCCAACACCACGTTTCTTTTGGATGAATACAACTCGTGTTGAATCCATAGCTTCAGTTATGAGTCGAGACAGATTTTTGCAAATTAGAAAAAACTTACATGTCGTCGATAATTCAAATCAATTATTTGCTGGTGATCCAGCTTTTGATCGAGCATATAAAGTTCGTCCATTACTTAATATTGTCAAAGAAAACTTCAGAAAGATTCCTAAAGAAGAAAAGTTAAGTGCAGATGAACAGATTATTCCATTCAAGGGTAGAAGCATTATGAAGCAGCATATGCCACTGAAACCAAATCGTTGGGGATACAAAATGTTTGTCTTAGCTGGTGGTGAGAGTGGTATTTGCTATGATTTCATATTCTATACAGGCAAAGGTGAAAAGTCTGAGTATGGATTTTGTACAAAAATCGTTCTTGCATTTTGTGAGACAGTTCCTCATGATATCAATCACAAACTTTATTGTGATAATTTTTATACCACAATTGCATTACAAGTAGAGTTATTCAAACTGGGAATTTTTACTGTTGGTACAGTGAGATCGAATCGATTAGCTGGTTTAGTTATGAAAACTAAAACAGAGTTATCAAGGGAAGGTCGGGGGTCAATGGATCATCGTGTAGCAGAGGTTGATGGAGTTCAGATCTGTGCCATCAGGTGGTATGATAATAATGTTGTCAACTGTCTTTCAACCTTACATGCTTGTCAGCCTATCGATTTAATTCAAAGATGGTCAGCAAAAGAAAAAAAACATGTGCAAGTTACCAGGCCAGATGTAGTAAGAGCTTATAATCAGCACATGGGTGGAGTTGATTTGTTAGACATGTTGATTTCATTATATTGTATCAATGTTAAGTCAAACAAATATTATATGAAAATTATTTTTCATCTTATCGATCTTTCAGTAGTAAATGCTTGGCTCTTGTACTGTCGGCATTGTTCACAGATTAATATTCCAAAGAAGAGCATGATGTCCTTATTAACATTTCGTTTGAATGTAGCTGAGGCTTTACTTAAATCTACTCCATTACCACCTCCAGTGAAACCTGGACGTCCTTCTTTGAAATTATCATTAGTTGAGAACAGTGCTTCAACATCACCAAGAGCTGCACCGAGTCCTCTACCATCAAAAAGTGTTCGGTTTGATAAGTACGACTATTGGCCGGAACAGATAGATAAGGGCAGATGTCAAAATGCAGGCTGTAATGGTTACACAAGAATATCATGTTCAAAATGTAATATACGTTTGTGTCTGAATGAGAAAAATAACTGTTTCAAGGACTATCATAACGAATGAACTGTCTCTTAAACGTAGCTTTAGTCTTCTCTGTTACTACTTTTTCTATATATTTGTCTAGTTTCTATCAACAGTTATATTATTTCCTTATATTATCTTTATGAATAAATAGAACACCACGAAGTATTATGTTGAAACCAAGAAAAACAAAAAAAACAATGTTGTAAAATTTTGACCCCTAGCGGCCGGGTGTTGCCAAATGGCAACATCAGGTTTTTCGACCCTGAAATACTTTTTAGTTTCGGAAAATGCATTTTTATTATCTACATGATAAGAGGACAACAGAAATATAAGAAAAAAATTTTTTAATATTCGCCTTCTAGGAGCCGGACGGAAAGGGTTAAAGAGGATGAATTAGTTTCGGCAACAATTAATAAACGATCCTGTCAGAAGAAATGGTTTACAGATTATCCTTGGTTAACATTTTGCAAAGTGAGTCTTGCCCATAATATGCATAATCTGAATTAAAACTTAAATCTAAAAGAAATAATTTTTCTTTCTTGCAGACGAAGAGGAGAGTTTTTTTGTTGTGCATGTCGCGAAGCATTTGAACGTGAAATTCATCCTACTAAAACAAAACTATTTCCTCATCATGTTACTTTTATAGTTAATGGTTATTGTGATTGGAAAAATGCTATATCACGATTTAAGCTTCATGAAAAAACTAAACTTCACCTGGATTCAATTTATGTTGTTAATCAGCAAATGAAACCTAATATAGCAATTCAATTAACATCAGCAACTAAAAAACAACAAGAACAACGTCGACAGAGTCTTTCAATTCAAATTTCGTGCATCATATATCTACTTCGACAAGGTCTTGCTCTTAGAGGACATGACGACGAAAACAGTAATCTGATTCAATTATTAAAACTTCGAAGTGCTGATAATGAATATTTAAACGAATGGATTAAAAATAGGAAATACTTTTCACATGATATTGTTAATGAAATTTGCAAAGAAATCTATTTAACAATCATTCGAGATATTGTAAAAGAAGTACGTATGACTAAGATGGATGTGAAAAACTTAAAAGTTATAATATAGTATGAATATAAATATGTATTCGTCTGCTTCTTCAACTGGGTCACAGATTGCATTTTGAAGATTTAAATATAATATTAGTTTCGCTGAAGATTTTCCATGCAAATTTGCATAGTTGTCCTTTTATTACAACGAACTGATGCTATAACATAGCTTGCCCGCAGAACAATAGAGTGCATCATCAGGTCTGATGTAACAGCTTGACATTTAGCTTTATATATTCTACAGAAACAGAAAAAGTGACTCAAACGTTTCTAGTTTTCCACTCTGAATTTTTAAATACCATAAGTTTTTATTTTCAATTGATTATAATAATTGAAAATGATTCGACTTTTTTCACCTAGATTTCGAGCAGAAAATGGTTTTCTTTGATATGTGATGAAACATGTGATGAATCAACAACCGAACAATTATGCATCACTATTAGATCCGTTAATTCTAACTACAAAATTTTTGAAGATGTCATAGGTCTATATGAAATATCTGCACAAAATGCTCCAACAATTGTTGAAGCAATTTATGATGTTATAACTCGATGTGGCTTGGACATGATTAATTGTCGTGGTCAAAGTTACGATGGCGCATCAAACATGTCAGGAATATACGGTGGTGTGTCATCAATAATTTTGAAACAATATTCAAAAGCTATTTATATTCATTGTGTTGCACATTGTTTAGATTTAGCTGTACATGATTTAACAGATCAATGTGCTTCTATTTGTAACTGCATGCTTTGTGTAAAAGATATTATTGATTTTATACGTCGATCACCAAAACGTCTTGTTATTTTAAAAGAAATATTTAATCAAATATCGTCGTCTTATACAAATCTTACGGCATTATGTCCACATAGATGGATAATGCGTGCTGAATCATATGGTTCGTTATTAAAAACTTATGAACAAGGTAAAGGAATATTTGCTTATATTTTAAAAAAATGTGGTGTCACTTTCGTAATGCTTACCACATAATATATGGCGAAACAGAATCATCAAAACACTTGATTTCGAAGAAATCTTCGAAACTATTAGCGAGATGATCTTAAATCGATCAATATTTTCTGCCCCTCTTCTCGTTTTTTTTATGCATAAATCTCGCAAGGAAAATATTCGGTCAAGTACGAATAGTATCCTTAGTGATGCGATAATATCTTTATCGGAACGGGAAGTATTATTTTTTGTTAGCTAGCTTTGAAAAACTTTATACATCGATAGAAAATGCATTATCAAAATAGGTCTTTCACATTAGAAGCCTCATTCCTATACATAAGCAACAGAAAATTTTGGTGACTTCAGAAATGTTATTTCAAGTACACCAGCACTCATGTTAAAGCTTGGATAGTATTTAAATAGATTAAAAAAACATTCGAAAATCTAAAATTAAAATTGAATTTTAGTTCAAGAAGCCTTGCACACAATAAGTAAAGAAAAAGGTGGTCCTGGTATAAAAGCAAATGGTTTATATGAACAGATGAACAAATTCGACTTTTTTTTTGGATTAAAACTAGGTAATTTAGTATTTACAGATACAGAAAAGCTGTCACGTGCATTTCAAAGTTCTGATTGTTACTTACAAGATGTTTTCTGTGCTGCTGAGGCAATTATTTATCGCTTTCGACGTATTCAAGGTGAAAAATAAACTCTGTAAACGATCAAATGTATTTGTTGAAACTATCATTTCTTCTTTTTCAGATGATATTAATTTTGAATTATTTTATAATCAAGTAGTTAAAGATAGTGAAGGTTTAACAGAAAAACCTATTCTACCTCGACGTCGACGACCACCTGGACGATATGAATCAAATACAATTCTCGTAAATCATGCAAGTTGTGAAGATTTTTATCAGAAACAATATGTTGAAACATTAGAAATGATCATTAACATGCTTCAAACTCGATTCACACAAAAGAATTTTAAAATGTTATGTGAAGTTGAAAATTTTATTCTTAATATATCTAATAAGCCACCTGATCTTTCCATTGACTACATTAAAACAATTATAGATTTTTGTTATGATGATATTGATATTGAAAGATTAAAATCTGAAGCAGTTATGATTTCAGATTTTTTTAAAGTTGATATAACACAAATCAAATGAAAATAAAACGAATTACCAAAATTTCTACAGTTTGTGAAATTTTAAATATCCGTGAAATTGGGAAACAAATGTTTCGAGAATTTGATAAATTGATTCGACTTCATTTAACTATTCCAGTAACTACTGCAACTTCTGAAAGAGCATTTAGTGTATTAAATCGAGTGAAAAGTACACTTCGAAGTACTATGACTCAATCACGTCTTAATCATTTATTATTGGCACATATTTATAAAGAAAAACTTGATGAAATAGATCCAAATCAAATCATGTCAACATTTATATCATCAAATGAACAGAGACAGGCATTTTTTTGGACTGATGCTTTAATTAAAAATAAATTATTCTTATAGTTTAAAAAATTTTGTCTTCCAGCAAAGATTTTGAAATTTTGTTGATAGAGATCAGCAGGATCAAGAGAGCTGTTTTTTGATAACAACAGCACCAAACAGTCTGAAAATGGCATATCATATGGAGTCCCTCAGGGGCCCTTGGGCTCATAGGAGAAACTATTTGAGGATGAAAATCGTACTTGAACTGAGTCTCACCTAATTTTGAAACCTTCCGCCGCTCCTGATAGGGATATTCAATTTTTTGTTGTTGGGTAAAGTGACTTTTGCGCCACCCTGTAGAATATCATGGTCGGTACACAGCACCAGCAGCTAACGTTTCAAATTTATAAGCTTGATAGTGAGACCTTCACTTTGACTCCAACATGTTCCATTATCCTTAACTGACAATATAAGCGTCTCTGCTAGAGATGATAGTTTGTGTCACATGCACTTTTAAAATTGTTTTGCCGTGTTCGTGAAGAAAAAAATTCAAGTTTTGCATATCGAGCTTAATCTGTAGACAATCTTTTTTACAAAACCAAAACTTGTTAAGTTACTTCGTTGAAACTTTGACTTTCATAATCAGCTTTTTGATCACACTTCTTTGGAACACTACCCACGGTTTAACTCACGAGTTTAACTTTATTTTCTAAAAAGATCATTTATAATCTACGATTCAGTTGAGTTACATTTAGCTATTTACGATGAATCATCCAATCTATGGCAGAAGAATTCTTGATGAAAAATATCAAACAAAACATTTTATTATACAGAATCATTTCTGTCCTAAATTTTAAGGTCTTTCTGATAAATCTGTCATGGATTGCAATTCAACGTTTAGCGAATCTTAGTTGAGCATTCTCAACAACCTTTATAAAAAAATAATCCTTCTTTGCCGAAAAGGCTCTTTCTCTCGCGGAAAAATTAGAGACATAACGATACTAGTACAGTAACATGAAAGCGGGTCAATACAAGTTCCATATAGTCCCCATAGTTCAGTACTATATTGTCGCTGGAACATGCGTCATTATAAGGTTTTAAAGGATTCTTAAAGATTTCTAAAGATTTCCAAAGATTTCCAGAGATTTCAGGGGTTAAAATCTGCTTTTTTCCCCTTGATAGTATGTGACTAGTCCCAAATATGACAAAAAATAGTCATGACTAATTTTTTGTGTTAGTATTGAAAAGTCAATAGTCTCTTCTCTGGTTGCTAAACTAATATTGAATTCACTTTTCCATGATTATTTATTAGTAGACGAAAGCATGACGTTCCTCCAATTTGTTTTGGAATAGACAAATATCATTTTTGACGTTCTCACTAAATGCTGTAACTTGGACGCATTAGAACACCGTGATCCATCAAATGCAGATATTATTCAAGTTCAATCGTCGTCAACGACGAGCCAGATGGACGCGAAATGAAGATCGAAGTAATAGACAATCGAAATCAATAAAAAAAAGTATTTATCATTAATTCAAATAATCAAACTGATTTCAGCTGTTCTCGTTCCAATAATGATTGGCGTATTTACTCTCATAACGACGTTTCAGGAATCTAAAAAGGCTTTATTACAACACGAAGCCGCAAAGCAGCAGCAAGAGGTAGATTTTTTAAAAATGAAAGAACAAAACCAATGTAACGACATGAATAGAGAAGACTTACGAATTCAAAATGCCTATGATACATTTATGAAAGATATCTTACCCATTGTTCTCAAAGACAATAGTAATCTCACGATGG